ACCCCAAGACACAGATAACAAATAATTGGCTTCAGGCATTTTGGAAAGCTCCTGGAAAAGCGGCGCAAATCCTCCGGGAGAAATCGCCGCTCGGACGGGAGAGGAGCGTGTCCCAATCCCAAAAAATCAGCGTCCATGGGAGGCAGGGATCCCGCAGGGAGCGGCAGCTGCGGATCCCAGCCCGAGCATCCTCCGGCTGCCGGGGGGGATGCAGGATGCAGGGATGAAATCCGGGAATGCACAAAGGGATGGGAAGGAAGGGATCCGCACGGATCCAGCCGCGTGCCGGGAAGCGCGGGGGGGATTTGGGGAATTTGGGATCAGCTCCTGAAGGGGGTCCCCGTTCCGTAAGAGCCCGGCTCAGCTGAGCGGGGAAGTGATGCTGACTCTGCCAACACAGCCATGTTTTATGGGGAAATTAAAATGGAGGAAGCTCCGGGAATATTTAAATAAGGGGGGAAAGCAAGCAGCAGTCTCCTCTCCATTCCTGCTTTGCTTTAATGCTGTTCCCTACAAGACTCAAAATATTCCCAGCTGGATTTTTAAAAGCGTTTTTCACGTTTTCAGCGCGATCGGGTTTTTCCTCCTCTGTGGTAAAGGGCAAAATGCAGCAATGCAGCAAAATGTCCCTTCCCAAACTGAAATACCCTTCAGACAAGAGGTATAAAAAATAACCACCTTAAATCTGTAACTGCAATTCATAAATTCATACGTTCATTCTTAAAAGAATGCATCTGTCATGTCCCTGCCCGAGGCAGGGGGTGGAACGAGAGGAGCCTTAAGGTCCTTCCCAACCCCAACCCCTCTGTGATTCACCACCCAGCCTTCAATATTTCATCAGTTCTGCAGATTTTGTTGCAAGCAGACAAGCAATCCCTTTATGAGGGAGCTGGAGGTGTCCTTGAGGAGGAAGCCAAAGAAAATCCCCTTGTGCTGGGACCGGTGGGATGTGCAGCTCTCCCGCTGCTCAGGACGTCCTTGGTGATTGTGCTGGGAGCCCAGCAATGCCAGAGGCCAGGATTCCCAAAATAAAAGGGAATCTTTGCTGTGAAAGCCTCTCCTGACTCCAGCTGCCTCTCCTGGGATGGTGGCACGAGGCTGCCCCGCGTGCTGGGCGACACGTGAGGCGTGGGCATTGCCCAAAATCCTGCTCCTGCTCCCCCTGACAGCCCAGGCTGGACAAGGCACGGCTCCAGAACATCCAGGTGGGATTCCAGCTCAACCTCGGGCCACGTGGAGCAAAGGAAGCTGTGACCCACCTGCTCCTCTGCTGAGGTGGGAAGCTGATGGCACCTCCCTTTCACCCCTGCAGCCCAAAGGTGCAGGGACAATGCCACCTCTGTCCTTGCTGTCCCCTCCCACGGCAACCTGCCAGTGCCAGGAAACAGGGAATCATGGAATGGTTTGGGTTGGAAAGAACCTTAAATCCACCCAGTGCCACCCCTGCCATGGCAGGGACACCTCCCACTGCCCCAGGATGCTCCAAACCCAGTGTCCAGCCTGGCCTTGGCACTGCCAGGGATCCAGGGGCAGCCACAGCTGCTCTGGGCACCTGTGCCAGGGCCAGGAGAGGGATGTGGAGGCTGGCATCCCATGGGATATGGACAGGAGAGGGATGTGGAAGTTGGCATCCCATGGGATTATGGACAGGAGAGGGATGTGGAGGCTGGCATCCCATGGGATGGGGCACAAACTGCTGATAAAAATGTCTTTGCCTCACAAGTGGCCTCACAAAGCACAAAGTGCAGCCACTGCCTTCCCACAGAGCACCGAGCAATGAAGTGGCCACCACAAGGTCACCGGGGTATCTGCAGCAGGGAAAAATAAAAATCCTCGGGATTCTCACATCCCATCTGGAAGCAGGAATCTGCCCCCCAGGACTTGGAAGGTCAAACCCAGCTGAGCTTCCTGCAGCTGTGGGGATTCCCACAAGATTTGCAGAGTTTATTGGGATTTGTCACCCCGATGATGCCAACACCTAAGCAGGATTTACTTTATCACACGCCCCCTTTCCAAAAATACTGAGGCACCCCGGATGTTCCACTGCTTGTGGGGGATTTTTGGGATTTTCCCTCGATGCCAGGATGCTCTGGAGAGGTGCTGCTTCCCGGGAATTGCTCTGCAGGGAGCAGTGCCCTATGCCATGTGAAACCCTCCTGGAGCGATCCCGACCTTAAATCCAGAAAAACAAACAGATTGTAGGGGGTGAGGAGAAAATTCCAACTGCAGCAAACCCAGGGAATGGGGTTTTGGAGGGCGCCGCCTGCAATTACGGTAACGCCCGGCAGCCACGCGGGTAATTACGGTAATGCCCATCTGTGGTGATGTTATTTTCATTAGTTTTCGTAATTAATAACAGCCCCCGCACCTTTTCCAAAGAGAGTTTGCACTGATAAAGTCGGCAGGAGATGGGAATTAGGAGTGTAGGGATGAGGAAGTGATGCTTCCCCCAAATCCAGGGGGTTTCCCTTAAAAAGGAGAAAATCAGGAAATGCTCAGCACTCCTTTCCCTCCACCCCAAACTCTGACCATGCAATTAACGCCTTTAACTGATGGGAGGAGTGCAGATAACACCAATAAGATCAAGCCCAGGTGCCATTTTCCATATCCAAAGGCCCAGCCAACATTCCCAGCTGGTCTGGAAGCATCTGGAGCCCTGTGTGAGGAACAGCCTGGCATGGCGTGGAGCTTTCCCGTTTTCCCTGCTCTGAAGCAACTGCAGAACTCATCTGCACCAGATTAAGTCTCCCAGAATTGAATCACTCTTGGGTTACCAGCAGTGACCCTGCTCCATGCATCCTCTGCTCCATGGAATCACAGCTCCTTCCCAGCTCCCTCCCAGCCGTGTGTGGGTGGGAATTTCCTTGATTACCAGAGGGAAAGTTCTGTCCCAGCTCTCCTCCTGCTGCCCACACTGAACCCTCGCTGCTCAGGGCTTCTCCCCACCTTTATTCCATTGCTGAGCTCTGTTTCCAGACATGGCAATCCTGGGAGAGGGGCCCTGGCAGGGTGGTGACGTTGGCACCGAGGGCACAGCAGCTCCTGGAGCCACTTGGCAGCTGCCCTGTCACCCCATCCTAACCAAATGTGCTCTGTTTTTATGCAGAGGAAGAAAATTTGGTCTAATTTATGATCTAATTTGACAGATTTAGGAGCTGGGGGGTCCAGGGTGACCCTACCATGACCTGCCAGGGCCTGAAGGGGCTCCAGGAGAGCTGGAGAGGGGCTGGGGACAAGGATGGAGGGACAGGACACAGGGAATGGCTTCACTGACAGAGGGAAGGGATGGATGGGATATTGGGAATTGGGAATTGTTCCTTGGGAGGGTGGGGAGAGGCTGGGATGGAATTCCCAGAGCAGCTGTGGCTGCCCTGGATCCATGGCAGTGCCCCAGGCCAGGCTGGACACAGGGGCTGGAGCTCCTGGGACAGTGGGATGAGATGGGCTTTAAGATCCTTCCAACCCAAACCAGTCTGAGATTCCACGATATGACCCCGATGGCGATGGGGAAAAACCTCCCTGACGATTTAGTGCAGAAATTCCCACTTTTCTGGCTCTTTATGGAAAGAACAACTGTGTTCCTCTCCTGGGGAGGGCCGTGAAGAAGCACCCACAGCCCTTCCCAGTCCCACACCGACTCCAGCAAGGGATCCTGCTGTTATTCCTGTTCCTGTTCCCTCTGGAGTCTGCTCCCGGCATCTCAGGGAGAAGAATAAAGACAGGAGCAGGGATCTGGAAACCCTTTGAAGTCGATGTAGCCCAGCTGGGGTTCCCCGAGGCCAGGAGCCCTTATGCAAAAAGGCTGCTCAAACCCAGTTGGAGTCATCTGCAGAGGCTGAGGGTGATCTGGAGATAAAAGAGCAGCTGGGATGCTGGGGAGGCTGTGCAGAGGGATCCAGCCTGGATTTTGCTGGGGGAATCTCGCTGCACATCGATAAAAGAGCAGCTGGGGAGGCTGTGCAGAGGGATCCAGCCTGGATTTTTCTGAGGGAATCTTGCTGCACATCTATAAAAGAGCAGCTGGGGAGGCTGTGCAGAGGGATCCAGCCCGGATTTTTCTGAGGGAATCTCACTGCACATCTATAAAAGAGCAGCTGGGGAGGCTGTGCAGAGGGATCCAGCCCGGATTTTTCTGAGGGAATCTCACTGCACATCGATCAAAGAGCAGCTGGGATGCTGGGGAGGCTGTGCAGAGGGATCCAGCCTGGATTTTGCTGGGGGAATCTCGCTGCACATCGATAAAAGAGCAGCTGGGGAGGCTGTGCAGAGGGATCCAGCCTGGATTTTGATGGGGAATCTTGCTGCACATCTATAAAAGAGCAGCTGGGATGCTGGGGAGGCTGTGCAGAGGGATCCAGCCCCAAATTTGCTGGGGAATCTCGCTGCACATCTATAAAAGAGCAGCTGGGGAGGCTGTGCAGAGGGATCCAGGCTGGACTTTGCTGGGGGAATCTCACTGCACATCTCCCATGTTTATAAACCCCCTTCCCAACCCACCCTTCTGACCATCCCCAGAACAAAAAGGATTTTTGGGCCCAGGGTTATTTTTGCTGAGGCAGCCAGGCTGAATCCTCCTCGTTTAATTACCCGGGTAATTAGTGCAGGTCCCGAGGTGCAATTGGAGCGCTGCTGGAGCAGCTCTTTTGCTGGGATTTGAGGGACAAGAGCAGCCCCTCACCTGCCCCAGCCCTATCAAAAATGATTTACACACAGGAGGGAAATTACTCATGCGAGCAAGGCTCAGCCAGGGAGTGTGGAACGCCTTTGTCTGGGATGGGGATGGATGCAACGCTCCACTCCATGTTCCAAAAATCGGGATTAACGCCATCCCGCTGAAGGAATATTTGTAATTAGCCCAACCCTCTCTCCCTGACATCTCATTCCTGTGCTGCACAGAGCCAAACTCCTGCATCTTGGAATTGTGGAGCATTTCTTTGAAAGTCTGGAAGTCCAGAGTTGAAATTCCTGGGTTTGGAGCAGCATAACCTTGCTTATCTGTGTTTTCCTGCTGTTACAAGGACCGTGGCAAACAGATTTGCAGCTGTCCTTGTTACTTCATAATTCCCATCGATTTTCCTTCCTAGGTACTCCATGGAGAATGATGGGAAGTGCATTTAATGTTTAAACAAGGAAAAAAAAACAAAAATAAAAACAAAAAATACAGCCTGTTTCACACAGCACTAAAGGAGAAAGTTTTCAGCCATATTTCAGTGCCTGGAGAAAAGTGGAATGGTTGCAGTCAACTATCAGTCATTAAAAAAATCAAATTTCTTTTGCAGCTCTTTTTAGTTCTTATTTCCTAAAACAATATCGCTTTTAATGCGTTAGAAACTCTTTTTAATGAGATACAAAGTACTATTTGTTTTTTGGTTGTTTTTTTTTTTTTTTGTTTTCCCTTCAGCTGATTTTGGAAACCCAAAAGTAAACACAGGCTTATGAAATCTCCAATTTCACATCAAAGCAGCCTTGATTTATAGAGATGTTCAAAGGAAGACTTTAAAGGAGCAGCATCATGACCAACTTGTTGGCCTGATGTTATTAGAATAATTTAGAAATCCACAATGTAAATGTTGATAAATAAATAGCAGGTTGCCATAAATCAGCATGTGGCTGCTCATGAAAGCGAGAACATCTATCTGATGTAGACAGAACAATATTCAGATTTCCCCCTGGTGAGGTTTAGCATTTCTGAGAGCAGCAGAACCTCCCTTGGGTGGGACGGGATTTACGCAACACGGGGCTGTAAAAAAGTGATGAACTGGGAGCTGGAGCTGAGCGTTTGCAGCACTGGGGCATTTCCAGCTCCTTCCCAGCCAAATGAGACTCAGAATATGCAAATTGTTCCAAATGCCAGGAAGGAAAATCTCCCTGCAGGAGCCTGCCCAGGGAAAGCGCCGGGGTTGGAGCCGGGATTGCTCATTCCCGAGAGTTGCGGGTGTTACTCAGCGCCCAGGGAGGAGGAAATCCCCCGGGAAGGGCTCAGGTCATGGAGCAAACAGCGCTGTGCTTCCCTGAAAATCCGTGTGTCATGTGTGGGCAAGGTGTGGGATGGGGCTGGCACCTGGAGAAATCCCCTGCGGGGCCGGATCTGCTCCTGCCTGCTCCTGGAGCCCAGTCCTGGAGCATCCAACAGCACTGCCTGGATCCCAATCCATGGAGCCCAGTCCTGGAGCATCCAACTGCCTGGATCCCAATCCCAGAGTGTCCAACAGCACTGCCTGGATCCCAATCCATGGATCCCAGTCCCGGAGAGTCCAACGCCACTGCCTGGATCCCAATCCCAGAGAGTCCAACAGCACTGCCTGGATCCCAATCCATGGATCCCAGTGCTGGAGCATCCAACTGCCTGGATCCCAATCCATGGATCCCAGTGCTGGAGAGTCCAACACCCAATCCATGGATCCCAATCCATGGATCCCAGTCCTGGAGCATCCAACTGCCTGGATCCCAATCCATGGATCCCAGTCCCAGAGTGTCCAACAGCACTGCCTGGATCCCAATCCATGGATCCCAGTCCCAGAGTGTCCAACACCACTGCCCTGGGTCCCAATCCATGGATCCCAGTCCCAGAGTGTCCAACACCACTGCCTGGATCTTAATCTATGGATCCCAGTCCCAGAGTGTCCAACACCACTGCCCTGGGTCCCAATCCATGGATCCCAATCCCAGAGTGTCCAACACCCAATCCATGGATCCCAGTGCTGGAGCATCCAACTGCCTGGATCCCAATCCATGGATCCCAGTCCCAGAGTGTCCAACACCACGGATCCCAATCCATGGATCCCAGTGCTGGAGCATCCAACACCACTGCCCTGGGTCCCAATCCATGGATCCCAGTCCTGGAGTGTCCAACACCACTGGCTGGATCCCAATCCATGGATCCCAGTCCTGGAATATCCAACACCACTGCCCTGGGTCCCAATCCATGGATCCCAGTCCTGGAATATCCAACACCACTGCCCTGGGTCCCAATCCATGGATCCCAGTCCCAGAGAGTCCAACACCCAATCCATGGATCCCAGTGCTGGAGCATCCAACACCACTGCCTGGATCCCAATCCATGGATCCCAGTCCCAGAGTGTCCAATACCACTGCCCTGGGTCCCAATCCATGGATCCCAGTGCTGGAGTGTCCAACACCCAATCCATGGATCCCAATCCTGGAGAGTCCAACACCACTGCCTGGATCCCAGTCCATGGATCCCAGTGCTGGAGCATCCAACACCACTGCCCTGGATCCCAATCCATTGGATCCCAATCCCAGAGTGTCCAACACCACTGCCCATGGTTCCTAATCCACAGATCCCAGTCCTGGAGAGTCCAACACCACTGCCTGGATCCCAATCCATGGATCCCAATCCATGGATCCCAATCCCAGAGTGTCCAACAGCACTGCCCTGGACCAATCCATGGATCCCAGTGCTGGAGAGTCCAACATCACTGCCTGGATCCCAATCCATGGATCCCAGTGCTGGAGCATCCAACATCACTGCCTGGATCCCAATCCATGGATCCCAGCCTGGCCTCGCACAGTTATTTCTCACTGTGTGATGAGACAAAAACCAGATTGTTGCTCTCCTTCCTTGGGTGGAAAAACCCCAGCAGGGAGGTTTGGCCTGGTCTGAAGCTCTGGGATCCTTTGGGGGAAGTTCAGGTTGGTTTCTGCTCCATCCAAAATGCTTTCCCAGTATCCAGAGCAGATCTCTCCTACCCAATTCTTTTGGCAGCTACATCTGGAGTGTACAGCTCATCTGGTCGGGTTTTGTATGGATTTCCTCTCTCTCCCCCACTGAAAGGTGCTTTTTGTAACATAAATGGCTCTGCTGGGAGGAAGAAGCACACAAAAGGCACATCCCAGGCCAGGGATAACTCCCCAGATCTGTCCCACCTTTCCCAGAGCTGTGTGGTCAATGCCCACACCAATTCCTCACCCAGCACTGCTTTTATTCGTCCCTCTAGGGAGAGGCGAGTAACCAAAAGCAGAAACAGGCCAAAACACTCGCTCTGCAATGACATTTTTAGACTTTTAGCAGCTGGAAGAACACTGGATGTGGTGAGAGCACAGGGGAGCTGCTGAGAACCAGCAGCACACAACTCAAACCTCCAGCAGCTCCTCTGCTGACACGAGGGTGACTGGAGAAAGCCCTGACAACATCTGTGGCCCCGAGAGCACAGAGTGCTGCAGGAGCTGCACATCCCAGCCCCAAATCTTGTATCAGTCACACCCTTGCAAACCACTCAGTGCCAGAGGAAGCCCAGGAGAGCCACCCCTGCTCCTCTGGGAGCCAGGAGATGCTGGGAATTTGGGCTGGAATAACCTGGATTGGATCCTCAATCCGAGAAAACACCCCCAAAGTAACAACTAACAGAGCATTTATCATTTAACAAGAGAGCAATGCAATTAAACGTGGGGTTTTGCTAATCCTATGAAGCAGCAATTTAAATTTAATTTAAATCTGAATCAAGCTCTGCAGTCATCATTTAGGCAAATCCAGCTGGGGTTTTACCTGAGTAGGAGAACAGGCTTTGGAAAATTCAAATAACTTTGTGCCCTGAGAAGACTTTTCCAAGATGCCTGTGTTGGAAAAAAAAAAAAAAAAAATCTGGCAACTCTGAATCAACAGAAGCTTGTTTTCTTCAGAAAACACAGGATAAAGAGGGAGTCCTGGGAAGAGGGCACTGAAAATCCAGGGAATAAGTTGGTGTAGCTCAGCATTCCCCAAAAATGTGGCAGCTGGTCGTGCCAAAATGAAAATGAGCCTAATGCAAGCATCAAACCCATACAGAAAGCACTAATTAATGGAGATAAAATAAATGAAAACTCCTTCTCACACAGAGATAGGCAAATGCTCCTCAGAATCCTTTTGCTGCCCTTGGCCCAGCTGTGCTAAACCTGCAGCAAGGTGAGGCACTTCTGGTTTGTTTGCTTTAAGCCAGGCTTTAATCAGGGGAATCTCAGAGCTCTGAGGTGAATCCCCATCCCAAACCATCTCCACAGCTTGTCCTGCCTTTGATAACTCAACATCTTTCAGTTCATTTCATGCAAATATTTGGATCAGCCCTGTGGAACACAGCTGGGGGAACATGAGGAGTTTGGAGTCAGGCTGTCCACAAACCCACTGAAAATCAGGGTGAGGATTAGGATTGCCCTGAAATCCTTCTCAGCTCCTCCATCCTGAGTGATGCTGCCCCTCTGGGGTGTCACCAGCATCCTTCACTCCAGAGAGGACCCTGCTCCTGCATTTAGTCACTCTCCAGGGCTGCCCTCAGCTCATGATTCATTTTGAACCTGCCTTTGAGCTATTATTTATTTAAGCCCCACCCTGACGTGTTATAACGTAAAAGTCTGAGAATGCCGAACTTATAAAACCCCCTCACGTCCCAGGAAAAGCAGATTTGGGTAAAGGACACGCCAGCAGGTCCTGGGCACCCTTGTGGCTCGGAGGATGGGTGACAGCTCCCCAAAAGCACCTGGGGAGAAGGATTTGAACCTAAATTCCACTGCCAAAGCCTTGATCTCTGCCTCATCCCCCTTGGATGGACTTTCCCCACACATTTTTCACAACACCCCAGAAGATGGGAAAGCATCCAGCACTCCAAATCCCTTTGCTTCAGGAGGGCATCCCAGATGGTGACACTGTCCCCTAATCCTGTCCCCACACATCCCACGGCCAATGCTGCAGCTTTCCAATATTTCCATTTTTAAAATACCTGAAGCAGTTTAACCAAGATACCTGCACAGACAGCCCAGGGGGCTCACAAGGACGAAATACCACATTATTAATTATGTATGGCCCCAATATTCCACCCCCTTTTAGGGCATATTTGACACCCCCAGAATGATTTACTTCGAGGGCAATAAGCACCGGAGGACGACACAGAGACAAACCCTAAAGTCGAATTCGGATGGGGATGAGGCTCACACAGAGGAGCTGAATGGGAAATCCCGAGGGGATTCCAGGTCAGGGCCAGCACCCCGAGGTGTTCCCTCCTGACCCGGGAACACCGGGAGCACCGGGAACACCGGGGGTGGCCAGGCAGAGGAGAACATCCCGTGGGAAGGGGACACCGGGGGTGGCATCCACCGCTGGCACTCGGCCGTGACCTCCAGTTCACATCGGTGGCCTCACTCCGTTTTTCTGACCCAAATGCCCTTTGAAATCCCAGCAAAAGCAGCTCGGTGGCGTTTACGTCACAGGTGACAAGTGAGACACAAGGTTTGATTATCCAGCACTTGGGAACAGCAGAAATATCTTTAAGAGTTGCAATAAGAGAGATTTAAGGATTTGCAAGAGTCCGACAAGTAACAGTTTGGGTAGAGGTGAGGGAGTTTGTAAAGTCATGAGAGGACAGCACTCACACTCTGTTTAAACTTACAATATCCCCAGAGAGCAGAAACTCTGTTCTCTGCGCTCGATGGCTGCAGAAAGCCCTGAACAAGGCTGGGCTCATTTAAGGAGAGGCAGAGGTGCAGCTCTGCAGGAACAATCCATCCCTCCATTTCATGGGGATGGCCCCATAAAAACCATTTCAGCTGGGAAAAGGATCTGCTCCTGCTGGTGATCCAGGGGATGCGCTGAGCACGTCCTGCCCCAGATCCCAAATTAGGGACTAGAGCAGCTCCCATCTGCAGCAAAGTGAGCCTAAGGACAGCTGCCTGATGCCAGAAGAGAAAATAGCCCCTTTTTTGTCATCGCTGACTCACAAACCCTTCTGACACAGCAGCTGCCTGAGCTGGAAGCTGGACATGGTGATAAATGCAGGAAAAAATGAGTATACGTGTAGGAATAACGTAAATAAGGGTGGTTGGGTCTCTTGAGCAGCACCGAGTGCCTGCAGAGCCCCTTCCAGGTTATTTTGTTTCAGGGCCCTATCAGCTCCCACCAAAAGATATTAGAAAATCCAGTGTTAGGAAAATAAACTCCCTTCACGGCGGCTGCAAACAGATATTTTTGCAAGTAATTTTTTCCCCTCTAAGTTAGAAAGGTAAGAGCGCTGTGCAGGGTTAGTTCTTCAGAGAGCCTGGGCTGCTCTGAGGATCAGAGGGAGCAGAGAAGAAGCTGTCTGCAGCTTTCCGTGGGCTCCCGCGGGTGGCACTGCGGGGTCCCCACGCACCCACATCCATCCCCGCATCCATCCCCGCTCCTCCCGGCGTCACCTCCCGCCTCCTCCGGGAATACGCACATGTTTGGAGCGCTGCCTTCCGAAGAACCCCATCAGCTCAAAGCCCGGCGCAGTCCCGCATGGCTCTCCCCTCTTTTTTTTCTTTCTTTCTTTTTTTTTCTTTTTTTTTGGGTTTTTTCTTGCCGCAGCGCTGCTGAGACTCCCCCAGCGCGCACGGATGCCCAGAGCCTCCCTCCCTGCCTCTCTCGGCGCTGTTGTTGCAACTCTGGATTTTCTAAACTACGTCTGTCAGGAAGGAGACAGGAAATTCGAGTCACACTTGCAGCAGCTGTGCCATGCCTACTATCGGGCTCAAATGACGTATTTTGGCTGGGGTGGCTCGGGGCCAGGAACTGGCGAGAGCGGAGGTCAGGAAGATAGGTCAGTGTTTATTCTGCTGCTGCGCTTGGGAGCATGCCCAGCCCGTTTGCTTTCTTCCGAGCTAGACTGTTTCTCTTTCCGTTTTTTCTTTAATAATGCGCAGCCCGAGCATCCTGTTTTCAAAACATCTGCCGGCTCTGCTATTTACCGGTGACAAATGCAGATGTTGGGAGCGGGGAAGGGCGGCCCCAGCTCCTCCCGGGGATGTAGGATTAACCCAGCACTGCCAAACCCCCAAAAAGCCACGAATCCCCCAAATCATCAGCATTGAACCCAAACTTTCCGCCCCGAACCGCGCCGTGATTTGTGACAATATTTACAGCTCCGCAGCAAAGGCATGAGAGGTGCGAGGCCATTTTATGCTTCTTTTTCACAGCTGAAAACTGTGAAATTGGAAGTTGACCAAAAAAGCGCAGACATTTCAGAAACGGGTTATGAAAGAACAAAGTTTCAGGAAGTCTTTCTCGAGCCAGCTGCAAGCCATCTGCACCCGAGTGATCACAACTTTAAAGTGCTACAAAAGCAATTTAGTTTCACCTTCACGAGGCCAGATTTGTCACTCAGCAAAAAAATTAAAAAGTAACCTCAAATTGAAGGGCGCCGTGTTCACGCTGGAGGTGCAGCCTGAAACCTCCTCAACTTTCTCCAGGGTTCCCTCAACAAAAACTCAAACTAATAAAATGATTTTTTTTTCTTAAAAGCTCGGTTTATAAAACTTCTACTGCTTCCTTTGCCCCTGCACATCGTGGTAATCACTACCAGAAGAGGAAGGTGAAACAACACGAGATTTCTTTGCTCAACTTTTTCCCAGAAATCCAGTTTCTGATTCAGCATTTCTGATTGCAGTCATTTCCAATCAGGAAAAAAAAACCCAAAAGCCAACAACAGAGCTGGGTTTAAACCCATCCCAACTGGGCAAGGACGTGGATGCGACGGGCACTGGGGGGCTGGGAGCCCTGGAAGGGGCAGGAGCGGGCTGTCACCATCCCTTCCTGCCCACCCTCAGGCTGTGCCAGCCCAAGGCATTAAAAATCAAATTAAAACGTCACCGAAAGCCAAAACAGCCGTAAAATACCGGACCCACAATGTTTACAGCTCGCCGTTATTATTATTAAGCAATGAAGTTAATTGACTTCTGGCGTGGTGATGTGCTAAATGCGGACGTTTGCAGAGTGTTCCTGCTCATATCGGCTCCAAGGGACCGGCGCTAATTGAAACCTCTTTAATTTTCGGGAACGAGCCTGGGGCAGCGATAGGGCTCCCCGCGATACCCCGGATCGCGCCCCCAGATTGTCCCGGACCTCTCTCCATGATCCATCCCGGATCGCTCCCCATGATCCATCCCGGACCTCTCTCCATGATCCCGGATCGCTCCCCATGATCCATCCCGGACCTCTCCCCATGATCCATCCCGGATCTCTCTCCATGATCCATCCCGGACCTCTCTCCATGATCCATCCCGGACCTCTCCCCATGATCCATCCCGGATCTCTCTCCATGATCCATCCCGGACCTCTCTCCATGATCCATCCCGGACCTCTCCCCATGATCCATCCCGGATCTCTCTCCATGATCCATCCCGGATCTCTCTCCATGATCCATCCCGGATCTCTCTCCATGATCCATCCCGGATCGCTCCCCATGATCCATCCCGGATCGCTCCCCGGCTCCATCCCGCATCTCTCCCCGGCTCCATCCCGGATCGCTCCCCACTCCACCCGCCGCGAGTTCTCCCTGGAGGCGTCTCGGCGGGGAACGGCGCAGCCCCTTCACCGCACCGAGCTCGGAGCCGCTGTCCCGGACAGCGAGGACGGGCCGGGACCAGGCTCAGCACCCCGAGGACGGGCCGGGACCAGGCTCAGCACCCCGAGGACGGGCCGGGACCAGGCTCAGCACCCCGCACCTCTCCGCATCCCCGTCCCGCATCCATCCCCGTCCCGCATCCCGGCGCCGCACGTGGCTCACCTTGTTGGATGCCATCTCGCTGACGGAGCGGTAGGTTTGGATGGTCTCCAGCTGATCCAGGCACCAGTCGAGCTCCTCCAGCGTCTCCATGGCCAGCTTCTGGTAGGGCTCCTCTGCGAAGAGGCACACGGACATGAAGTCGGGCTGGCGCTGCTGCCGCCTGTCCATGGCGGGGCCGCCGCCAGCGCTGCCGGAGGAGCCGCTCCGCTCCCTCATCCCGCGGCCGCCGCTGCGCTGCCCCGACCGCCGCCGCCGCCGCCGAGTCCCCGCCCGGCCCGGCCCGGCCCGGCCCGGCCCCGCCCGCCGCTCGGGGGAACCGAGCGCCCCCCGGGCAGGGCCGGGCTGCGGCTCCGGGAGCGTCAGCGCGGCCCCCCCGCCCCGCCTGCTGCGGGCACCGGCCTCCCCCGCCGCTGGCGGGATGCTGCTCCTGCTCCTGCTCCGGTGCCAGCCCTGCTGCCCGCAGCGGCCAGAGCCGGCACCCCGAGAGTCCTGAATTCATCAGTCCTGAACCCCGACAGCTCTGCTCCCTGAGAGTCCCGAATTCATCAGTCCTGAACCCCGAGAGTCCTGAATTCATCAGCCCTGAACCCCGACAGCTCTGCTCCCCGAGAGTCCTGAACCCCGACAGCCCTGAACTTCATCAGTCCCGAACCCCGACAGCGCTGCTCCCCGAGAGTCCTGAATTCATCAGCCCTGAACCCCGACAGCCCTGAACTTCATCAGTCCTGAACCCCGACAGCCCTGCTCCCCGAGAATCCTGAATTTAATCAGTCCTGAACCCCATCAGCCCTGAATCCCATCAACCCTGAATCCCATCAGCCCTGAACCCTGACAGCCCTGAACTTCATCAGTCCTGAATCCCATCAGCCCTGAACTTCATCAGCCCTGAACCCCAACAGCCCTGAACCCCAACAGCCCTGAACCCCGACAGCCCTGAACTTCATCAGCCCTGCTCCCCGAGAGTCCTGAACCCCATCAGCCCTGAACCCCGACAGTCCTGAACCCCATCAGCCCTGAACCCTGACAGCCCTGAACTCAAACAGCCCTGAACCCTGACAGCCCTGAACCCAAACAGCCCTGCTCCCTGAGAGTCCTGAACTCCAACAGCCCTGAACCCCAACAGTCCTGAATTCATCAGTCCTAAACCCCGAGAGTCCTGAATTCATCAGTCCTAAACCCCGACAGCCCTGAACCCCGACAGCCCTGAACCCCATCAGACCTGAACCCCGAGAGTCCTGAACCCCATCAGCCCTGAACCCAAACAGCCCTGAACCCCAACAGCCCTGAACTCAAACAGCCCTGAACCCCATCAGCCCTGAACCCAAACAGCCCTGAACCCCGGCAGTCCTGTTCTCCAAGAGTTCATCCCTGCTCCCCAACCCTGTTTCTGCTCCCCAGCAGTTCTGCTCCCCACATCCACCAGCTCTGCTGCCCAACCCCTCCAGCCCTGCTCCTTAACCCCACCAAGGCCCACTCCCCTCCAACCTGCTCCCCAGTCCTGCCTGCTCCCATTTCCCACCCCTGGTTCCATCCCCACTCCTGGCCCTATTCCCCACCCCTGGTCCCATCCCCACTCCTGCTCCCATCCCCACTCCTGCTCCCCACTCCTGTTCCCATTCCCACCCCTGGTCCCATCCCCTCTCCTGCTCCCATCCCCACTCCTGCTCCCATTTCCCACCCCTGGTTCCATCCCCACTCCTGCTCCCATCCCCAAGGCCAAATCCTCCCTGTCATTCACCCCATCAATAAAGCACCACTGGAGAGGGACCTTCCATTAAATGATGGAGAATAAACAGAAAATAAACCCTGCCAAAGGTAACTCAGTGCTAAACCTGGCACTGACACGGTTTGAAAGGTTTGGTGAATCCAAATCTTTGTGGCATTGGAAGTTAATGGGTTTTTTTCTCTGCTCACAGAGCTCCAAAAATCGGAAGTTCTCTCATTCCTGCATAAGCACAAAAGCAGGTGAAAACAGCCAGAATCACACAAAGCTCAGTGGATTTTCCTTTCTCCCATGAGAAATTCCCATTCACACTGAGGGAATTTCTCCCATTCCCTCTCAGCTATTTTTTCCTGTAAATCAGCTGACCCAGAAGGGCTCAAACCACTTGTTGCATAAGGTGCTGGGACTGACAAAACCAGCACAGGTAAAATAAGTTTAGGAATAGGTAAAACCCCATCTCAGCCACACTAAAAGCCACATGTTTAAACCAAATCCTGCTCTTGCCCTGTGCTCTCCTGCTCGGAGGCTCCCCAGGAAGCACAGCCACGGCATGTGTGCATTCCTGGAGGAGGAGAAGGAACAGGTTCGCAGGGACTCTGACACCAGACCCTAATTTTAGCCTTTTGGGGGATTTCCAACCTTGCCCAGGTCTGCAGAACCCGCTGCCACTGTCACTTCACTTCCAATCCTCACCTCGGAAAGAGCCATCAGGGAATGCAGGACACAGAACAGAAATCTGCTCTTGATATCGAAGGACTCACATTCCCCAGAGCTGATATTCAGGATATTCCTTCACTCTGTAATCTGAGTTTTATGTAATAAAAGGGAAAAAAAAATCCCGAAGCAAGCAAAGCTATTACATATTAGGGATATCGAGGCAAATTAGGAAACTTGAGGGCTTAGAGGGTTTGGCTGTAAGTATTTATATTTATTTTTGGGTTTCAGA